GCACCAAGGACTGGAGATCGCCCGGCTAATTTGTTGTTAGCCACCCTGAGCCCGGTTTTCTGAACCAGGAAGGGCGGGGTGATAATATTATTATTATTATTATTATTATTATTATTATTATTATTATACTGTCTTCCTCTTCTCTGGGAGGTTCAGGCTGGGGAGGCGATCTCCACCATTCTTCCCCTGTCCAGTGCCTGACAGTCGGCCACTGTGAGAACAGGATTCTGGACTAGATGACAACTTTGGCTTAATCCAGCAGGGTTCTATCTAGACCAGCCTTTCTCAACCTGTGGGTCCCCAGATGTTGTTGGACTACAACTCCCATCACCCCTAGCTAGCAAGGCCAGAGCTCATGGATGATGGGAGTTGTAGTCCAACAACATCTGGGGACCCACAGGTTGAGAAAGGCTGGTCTAGACAAATTCATGGAGGATGAAGCTCCCAGTGGCTACTACTGGTATGAAGGCTATGTCAGAGTCAGCCTCTGAATAGCACCACTTGCTGGGGGTTGCATCCAGGGCAGATCCTGTGTACTCGGATGCCACTGAGTTCAGTGGGGAGCTTACTCCCTGTTAATTGCATATCAGATTGCAATCTCTGAGCTGTCAACCGGGAAAATCCAGGAGAGGCAAAAGGAAGAACTTCTTCACGCAACACATACTTAAAGTGTGCAATTCACTCCCACAAGATTGAGTGATAATGGCCATCAACTTAGACAGATTTGAAAGAAGGATTGGGCAGATTCACAGCTGTCAGTGACTTCATGTTACCTCAAGTCAGGGCCTTGCAGAGCCAGGCAGAGGCCCGGGCCAGGTAGATAATGTGCCCCCCTTTTTTTCCAGCCATGTTAGACCCATTGCCGTATGCTTGACCCACACAGTCTTGAAAGTTCAAATTGAGCCTCTCTAAGACGTCTAATATTTCAGTGGCAATTTCTTCTCCAGTCTTTATGGAACATTCATGAAAACCAAGAAAGCGCTCTTCAATTACAAAACTTTTACCTTCCCTCCTCACATATCTGATGATGAATGATAACTGTTCTTGGTGAGAGGAATATTTAATAGTTCAATAATGTATTTAAAAATCTATTTTTAAGTAGACAAATTTGACTATTAATTATAATTAAAACTTCTCCATCTTCCTTTTCTACTCTTAAAAAAGATGTATGCTTGTGAGAAAGCCACTATTGCTCATAAGCCACTATTTCTTTAAAAAACATGGTTTCCACCAAATTTTATCCTCATTGAGCTATATGTACTCCTCGGGTGTAAGTAATATTCCTGGCCTAGTCAACAAAATTTTAAACAAATGGCCACATCTTCATGAATTTTTCATCATTTAAAAAAAAATAATTAGCGATAAGAAAGCCAACACACTTATCTTTAAGGTACGTGTGGTTTTAATTTTTGGCACACAAGATTTCAGATAAAAACTCACCAACTTTTAACAGCATGAAAAACATGGTCCACCATCGCGTTTGCGGCGTGCTGGCTGCTGGAGCCTTGGTCGCCTCCACCCACCCAGCGCCCATTCCGCGCTCCTCTGTGGAGCTGATCGCAGGCCCTGCCCCAGAGGCCCGGAAGCTTTTCTCTCGCGCTGCCAGCCATGGCCCCAGGGAATCCGCCCACCGCCACCGCCACCTTTGCACCTCCGCGTTCGCCCTAGTGCATCCCCTGCGATTGTGAATATGCTGACCAAGGCCCCCTTTGGAATCAGAGGCCTGGGCCAAGTGGCCCATATGGACCCCCCTCTGTCTGCGCCTGCCTCCAGTGTCAGATGGTGCATGCTTCTGAATACCAGTTGCTCGGACCTGCAAATGGAGAGACTTGCTGTTGCACCCAGGTCCTGCTTGCCAGTTTTCCCTGGGCATCTGGTTGACACTTTGAGAACATGATGCTGGGATAGATGGGCCTTTGGCCTGATTCAGAATGGCTACCAACCCTTTAGGTAAGGCATGTCCAAAGTCTGTTTCAGGTGCCTAATCCAGCCCCCGTGGCAGTATATGTCCTGGAGTAAAATCCTAAAAAAAGCTCAACTTTGGTCGGTCCTCACGCATGTCCACTTCATCAAACCTGGCCCTCTTTGAAAAAAGTTTGGGCACCCCTGCTTTAGGTAATTGCTTCCATTATCCAGCTGCTCTCACCATCTCCTGGCATCCATGTGGAATTAACTCTTCTCCAACATAAGCTCATTAAGTCTCTGTACTGGAGGCACCAGCTTGCAAAGGTGATTAGGGGGCCAATGTTGCTCGTGTGATGTCCCGACGTCACACGTGTGACGTTAGTACATTGGGAAGAGCCACGAGTGGGGACAGATGTGGTGGCCCTGCAGCTTCAGTGGTGTGATGGCCTGGGACTCGGGCTCGGAGCCGGAGGAGTCTCAGTCTGCACCAGATCCTCTGCTTCAGGCAGCATCTGAACTGAGTCTGGGGCCTGATCCTGAAGAGTCCCAGTCTGCACAGGTTCCCCTGCAACAAGCACCTGCTGGGCCGAGTCAGGAGCCTGAGCCTGCGCTGGCTCCAGATGTGTGGAGTGCCTTGTTGCCTTCAGCTGGGCAATCACTTACAGCTGCTCCACTACCAGTTGGGTCAGGAGAGACTGAGGCGGCCTCTGGGTCTAGTAACCCACCGACATCTCCTGAGCTGCAGAGACTAAGGTCTGAGAGAAGGAGAGACCTGAGTACTCGCAGGAGGAGTGCTCACCTTCGGGCGAGACAGGGAGGTGAGTCACCAGGGGATCAGGACCGGCCATTACCGCCATCAGAGATAAAAGGCTGCTGGACCCTGCCCCAGGTTGCGGGGGCAACATTGCTGCTTGCTGGAACCTGCCTGAGACCTTGTGCTTGACCTAGCCTGGTTTGCTGCCTTGGCCCTGTCGGACTGACTCCTTGCGGAATCCTTGGATTTGGGACCGGACCTGGACCATGTGGCTCTGGTTAACCCCTGGGCCCAGCACAAGTGGCCAGTGGCTCCTCCTTTGCCTCCTCCTGGTACTGCCAATGGCAGGAGGCTGCTTTGACTCTCCTTTCCCTCCGTGGCAGGAAGAGGAGGAATCAGCCGTTGGAGCCCACACTGCAGTCGGCTCCACGCTTCGCCTCTGCACTTTTGGAACATGGGAGGGGGTTCCTGGCTTCAACCCCCAAAATATGTGGGGTGCCAAATGGACCCAGCCCCCTGGAGCTGGCCCACTGCTTTGTGTTCTTCTATGTGATAACCCTTCACGGCTCCTGAATACCAGCAGGACACGACTGGGAGAGGGCTATTGTTGACGACAGCATGAAATCATGAATCATACTGGGCTAGATTGTCCTGACTTCACAAGGCTGTTATGATGATAAAGCAGAGGGAATGGCTTTGTTTACTACCCTTAACCCCTAGAGAAAGGGTCGTCTTAGGAACATAGGAAAATGCTTTCTGCTGTGTCAAGCCATTGGGTCATCTCTCCCAGGTTTCAGGCAATTCCTGCCCCACCTGGAGTTGTTGGGGATTGAACCTAAGACTTTATGCACGCAGAGCAGGCACTGTTCCACTGAGCTGCAGCTTTTCCTGAGTGTCAGGAATGAGCCAGCTCTAAGCGAAGGGTTACAGCCAACTGCAGAAAGCAGCCAGGAACAGGGAGGCTTTGATGTTAGGCAGGCAAAGGAGAGCCGGCAGCTGCAGAAATCAGCTCTTCCTGACCTTGACTGGCAAGCTGATAACAGAGTAGCTGAGAGCAGGCTAGAACACTGCCAAAGCACGCTAGAAGCTCAAATAGGCACGGAAAAGACAAGGGGACAGTTTGTTGGAAAAGGAAGAGTTGGGCACTAATCTAATGTCTCCAAGGAGTCGACGAATGGGAGGGCTTCTAGATAGGAAGCAAAACAAACGGTGCAAGGGGTGTCGTTTCAATATATTCTGCAAATCCCGGAAGGAATCTTCAGAAGGTTCATCATGAGTAATGATGCAGGAGGCTTTGTTAGAGCTGTCCAGAGCTTTCTGTTTGTTTTTGCAATAAATCCTCCTTTTTAATTATCTACGCTCACTGTATTATCAAGCTGCGAACCTGGACTCCTGATGCTTAGCTGCAAGATGTCAATTACTTCTCCCAAGTGCTATTTTCTGGGGGGCGAGGGGAGGGAGGATGCCAGAACTCACCATGAATGCCTCTCATGTTCTCTTATAATGGCAATGATGCCTGCCTGAGAGGTTCAGGAACTGAGTTCCAGTGAGTTTTGGCTGAAATAAAGACCTGCATGTCCCACAACCACTCCAGGCTGTTTCCTCTCTCAGAATTAAGCAGAGCCACAGATTCCAAAACACAAAAGACTGTACATCTCTTTATTTACACCACAGCAATGTTGATTCTAAGCTCCCCCTTGTGGAATTCGTGTGTAAATATATCAACATGTTAACCAACCGCCATGATGCAACCCAACCATCTAGAGCAGGCACGTCCAACTCCCAAGAGACTGTGATCTACTCACAGTATTAAAAAACTGGCAGTGATCTACCAATCACCAGGGGACAAAAGATAAACCAAGAACGCCCCACGATCAACCAGTAAGTCACGATCAACCTGTTGGACATGTCTGATATCTGGAACGCCCAAATCATATATGCTCAAAGCAAACTCAGTCTTGTTACGTTGCCGAAACCGCACTGCACACATGCAAGAGGGAGACAGCAGCAGGTTAAGGGGGATGCCAAAATTAGCAGAAGTGCAAGAGATCATTAATGAGAGAACCGCTAAGGAGAGTTTTATTTAAAAACCTAAAAACAGCACAGTACGTACCTGCTGAGCATGCTTAGCGGCCACTGAACAATGAGTGTCTTTTGGAGAGAGGAAATGGAAAACAGCGGAATGGTGAAATGAAATATCCTGGGGAAAGGCATGTCTTAACGGATGGAAACCTCAACAGTTGCAGTCCAGACTGTGGCATTTTGTTGTAAGGTCTCACTTGGAGCCACCCTCATTCCTCTCTAACACTTCCAGCACTGCAGCGGATGAGTGAAGAAGTCTTCAGTTGTGCCTGTAATTGGGCCACTTGGAAATTTCCGAACGGATCGGCTCTCCGGGAGAAACAAGATTACTGACGTCGCTGTGGGCTACTACGAGGTAATCTGGAGAGAGGTACCCGACCTTGACAGAGAAGTCAAGCAGGCACTTCAAAGCTTTCCATGCTGCTTCATTGGGAGATCTCTCTAGAAGAGAAAAGGATGGTGTGGCATGAGACTCCAGAGTTTTTACAAACACACCCGTTAGCTATGCAATTTTTTTTAAGAGCATAAGAAGAGTCCGCTGGATTAGGCCACATGCCCATCTGGACCAGCATTCTGTTCTCACAGTGGCCAACCAGATTTCCCTGAGAAACCACTGGTCTGATCCAGCAAGGTTCTAAGTCCATTTTCCAGCATCCTATTTCACAGTAGCTAGCCAGACGTCTCTGGTTAGCCCACAAGCTGAAAATGAGTGCTATAGCTCTCTCCAACTCTTGTTTCCCATTGACCGGAGGTAGACCAAAGACATAGCTGTTGATAGCTTTATTCTCCATGAATCTGCTTAATCTCCTTTTCAACAAAGGGACTCAATAGATCTATGTGAACGGACTCATCACTCTAGAACATTCTAGAATGTCTTCGACCATGCGCCATGTTTTCAGAGCACACACCTGGAGGGCAGGTGGGGGAAAGCAGGGGTGTTGCATCAAAGCATACAGTGGTACCTCGGGTTACATACGCTTCAGGTTACATACACTTCAGGTTACATATGCTTCAGGTTACAGACTCTGCTAACCCAGAAATATTACCTTGGGTTAAGAGCTTTGCTTCAGGATGAGAACAGAAATCGTGCTCCGGCAGCGCAGCGGCAGCGGGAGGCCCCATTAGCTAAAGTGGTGCTTCAGGTTAAGAACAGTTTCAGGTTAAAAGCAGACCTCCAGAACAAATTAAGTTCTTAATCCGAGGTACCGCTGTACTTCAGTTTCTTATGTGAAACAAAAACTGGAGAACATTCACTTCTGAAAGATTGCTCTGTAGCAAGCTGACTCTTTCACACACCTCCAGGCGTAATTTAGGAATGTATCACAGAGCAACCTTTGACTTCAGAGGACCAACACCCTCCCCTTCAGGACAATGCAAACTGTGTTCCCTTGAGAACCTCCCAAGAGTGGCATTCATCCAGAGATGCCTCTGCACCATCCCAGACAAAGCATGCAGTCCAAAGGGTAAGATCATGAGCGAACATAAGCCTGGCTGCTGGATCGACCCAATGGCCCCATCTAGTCCAGCATCCTGTTCCCACAGTGGCCACCCAGATGCTTCCATGGGAAGCCTGCAAGCAGGACAACAGCAACTCCCCCGATTCTAGATTCCCAGCATCTGGTTTTGAGAAGCTTACAGCCTCCAACAGGGGTAAAACATAGACTAGACTAGAATTTTATTATTACAGTCACAGACCAAAATTTTATTATTACAGTCACAGATATCCCAAAAGTGCAGGGCCAAAGCACAAAGCTGAGCATAGCATGCCTCCAGCGGTCAGCTCCTTCTCCACTCCCAGCTCCTCCTGACGTCACACATGAGACATGACCCTCATAAACTGACGCCTCTGCCACTCACTGAGCTCCCATGTAATGGAACAGTAAACAAGGAGAGGATGCCAGAAACTATGAGATGGTTCTGGACTTGGGATATCACCCAAAGCCCTTTTTTCGTGTGCCTCCTCCATGAGAGATCCAGAGGGTGGCAACATGAGAACGGGGCCTTTTCTGCGGTGGCTCCCCATCTGTGGAATGATCTTCCCAAGGAGGCTCACCTGGAGCCTTCATTACATATCTTTAGATGCCAAATGAAAACATTCTCCTTTTCCCATGCCTTTGACTAATTCAACAATCTACAGCCTTTTAAACTATGGGGAGGGGCATTGTTTTTGTTTGTTACTATGTTATGTTTTCCTATTTTTTATATATTTTAAACCACCATGTGATCCTCAGATGACAGGTGGTATAGAGATCAAATAAAGAAATAAATAGGGACCCTATAGTTTTGGCTCTAATCCCCTGTATCATCAAGGTGCTGATCAGAGGAAGGGAGGGTGAAATGAGAGAGAGAGAGAGAGAGAGAGAGAGAGAGAGAGCGCTTTTTTCTATTAAAAAAATGTTTAGGGGTACGCTCCTTTTCCTACTCATATTGAAATACTGCCCCTCACTGAGGCCAGACTTAGATTCCCCCAGAAAAAAATCACTGGTTAAATAATAATAATAATAATAATTTATTTATTTATTTATTTATTTCCCGCCCATATGGCTCGGTTTCTCCAGCCACTCTGGGAGGCTTTCAACAGAATATTAAAATACAATAATCTATTAAACATTAAAAGCTTCCCTAAACAGGGCTGCCTTCAGATGTCTTCTAAAAGTCTGGTAGTTGTTTTTCTCTTTGACATCTGATGGGAGGGCGTTCCACAGGGCGGGAGCCACTACCGAGAAGGCCCTCTGCCTGGTTCCCTGTAACCTCACTTCTTGCAGCGAGGGAACCGCCAGAAGGCCCTTGGCACTGGACCCCAGTGTGCGGGCAAAACGATGGGGGTGGAGATAGATAGATAGATGAGATGATGATAGATAGATAGATAGATATAGATTCCTCTGTTCCTCTTAAAGTTACCCCTTGATCCATCACCATGGGGACTGGAATCTTCGTTTCTAGGCATGAGGCCATAGCTCAGTGGTAGAGCACCTGCTTTGCTTGCAGAAGGTTCCAGGTTCAATCCCCAGCATCTCCAGGTAGGGCTGGGGAAAGACCGTTCTCTGAAACCAGTCGGTGTGGGAAATACTGAGTTAGATGAGCCAATGATCTGACTCGGTTAAAGGTCTCCTAAGGCATGGATCTACTCACCTACGAAGGTGCCAATGAAAGCGATGCCGAGGGACAAATCGTTGTAGCCGTAGGTGTGAGATCCAACATTGCGCCAACCGCGCCCTTCATACACAAGCCCATCCTCGCCAATCAGGAAGCTGGAAGGAAGGAAGGAAGGAAGGAAGGAAGGAAGGAAGGAAGGGAGGAAGGGAGAGAGAGAGAGAGAGAGAGAGAAAGAAAGAAAGAAAGAAAGAAAGAAAGAAAGAAAGAAAGAAAGAAAGAAAGAGAAAATATATTCTTGTGAGCTGCTGTGACTCCTGTACTGCAAGACTCCAAAGACTAAGGATGGGGAGAAATCTGCATCTCCTCAAAGAATACACCGTAATCGAATCCTACAAAATCTACTTTCTCCCCTGAATTTTACAATCCAGTTCTCCAACAATCCAGTTCTCCAATCCATATATATATATATGGAAAATGAAAACAACATACAAGAATGCATTATATTAAACTGTCTGCAAAGAAACGAAGACAATAGGCAAAATATTGAAATTTTATGTCAATATTTTAATTAAATTTACATTTAATTAAAATAATGTTTTAATTAAAACACAAATTGTAACAAATGTTCATGATGGCTTTTTAAAAATAGCAGCAAAGCAAATTGAAGAAGTAGCAAACTGAACTTACGTTATGGAAGAGACACAGAGAGAAATTGAACAGATATGGCTTCTTACATTGAAGGGTGTGAAAGGAAGTGAGTGAGAGATCGAGACTTCCGGGGTGGCGCCATCGGCAATGGCGGACTCCCTCTGATCTGGAGGGACTAGCTCCACGCGAAACGGGTCTTTTCCGCTACGGCGAAGCGGGGACCCTTTCAAAATCACAGGCGGATGAAGCCTGTGACCATGGGACTTGGTGGGCACCTTTAGCGCCCCCCCAACCCGCAAAAGAACCCACTAAGGGGCTCCGGAGCGAAGAGGGGGAAGTGGCGCGGTGCTGAGAGTCAACTGCTTCTTCCGTGGAGCGAAGCCGCACAGCCGTTGTCGGAGAGCGCTGCCTTTTTCCTGGGACAATTTGGCTTCTAAAATAATCACCCGAGAGTACTTAAACTCAGACAATTGGACTTTAAATAAGGACTTGTGAGCAGAAAGGAAAATTGGACTTAAAAGTTTACCTCAATTTGGCACTGAAACGGGAAGGTCTAAACATTTTTTTTTTTTTTTTATAATATTTTTTATTGCATTTTTCCAGATAGAAATACAAGGTCAGATGTACAAAGAAATAACAGAAAAAAGAAAGAAAAAGAAGAAAATCATCTTTTCAAAGCATTTTTCCATAACCAACCGGACTTACCCGTCCCCCTCACCTTGCGTTCTTTACAATAAAATTTTTCAGCAAATTATAACCTTATTTCGTGCATTCTTTTGTTCTTTCAAATACTTGTGATTTACGTTTAAAATGCTTATTGTCAATTTGCACTAATAATATATATAATGTTCTTTTAAACGTTAGTCTTTTCATTAAAATAGCTTAGTTTCCCATACCTTAATCTTATTGCTGGAGCTGAATTTCCTAATCATGCGAATTCTTAACATTCATATAACTTATAAAATTTTTGTAAATAATCTTTAAATTTTTTCCAATCCTCCTCCATTGCTTCTTCCTCCAAATCTCGGATCCTGGCAGTCATCTCAGCCAATTCCATGTAGCCCATCAATTGCGTCTGCCACTCTTCCAGTGTGGGTAAATCTTGAGTCTTCCAGTGTTTTGCGATAAGAATTCTTGCTGCTGTAGTTGCATACATAAAAAGGTTCTATCCTTCTTTAACACCTTCTGACCGACAATGCCCAGTAGGAAGGCCTCTGGTTTCTTGGGAAAAGTGTACTTAAACACTTTTTTAACTCATTATAGATCATTTCCCAGAAGGCCTTCACTTTTGGGCAAGTCCACCAGAGGTGAAAGAATGTCCCTTCAGCCTCCTTACATTTCCAACATTTATTATCAGACAAATGATATATCTTAGCTAGCTTGACTGGGGTCATGTACCACCTGTATATCATTTTCATAATATTCTCTTTCAAGGCATTACATGCCGTGAATTTCATACCAGTGGTCCATAACCTTTCCCAGTCTTCAAACATAATGTTGTACCCAATGTCCTGAGCCCATTTTATCATGGCTGATTTGACTGTCTCATCCTGAGTGTTCCATTTAAGCAGCAAGATATACATTCTCGAAAGTACCTTGGTCTTTGGTTCCAACAATTCTGTCTCTAGTTTCGATTTTTCCACCTGGAAACCTATTCTTTGTCCAACTTGAAAACCTCTTGAATTTGAGCATAGTGAAGCCAATTTTGCACCTTATTCTTTAATTTTTCATAACTCTGCAGCCTCCAAGTTTCTCCTACTTTTCTATAATTTCCCATATTTCAGCCAACCAACCTCCATATTAGGTTTTTCCGGGCCTTGGCCTCTGCTGGTGAAAGCCACCTCGGAGTCTTACCCTCTAATAAGTCCTTGTATTTTGTCCAGACCATAAATATTGATTTTCTAACAATATGATTTTTGAACATTTTATGAACCTTTACCTTGTCGTACCACAAATATGCATGCCAGCCAAAAGCATTATCAAACCCTTCCAGATCTAGAACATCAGTGTTCTCAAGAAGTAACCAATCTTTCATCCAGCAGAAGGCCGCAGCTTCATAATATATTCTCAAGTCCGGCAGGGCAAACCCCCCTCTTTCTTTCAAATCAGTTAGTATTTTAAACTTTATCCGGGGCTTTTTGCCCTGCCAAACAAACTTAGATATATCCTTCTGCCACTTTCCAAAACATTCCACTCTGTCCACAATCTGTAGGGTTTGAAACAAAAATAACATTTTCGGCAATACATTCATTTTTATAGCTGCAATTCGACCTAACAAGGAAAGTTTCAATCTTGACCAGATTTCCAAATCTTTTTGATTTCCAGCCAACATTTTTCATAGTTGTCTTTAAATAGATTCAAATTTTTCGCTGACAAGTGAACCCCTAGGTATTTTACTTTTTTTACCACACTTAGTTCTGTTTCCTTCTGAAACCCATCTATTTCTGAGGGTGTCAAGTTTTTCCCCAAAACCTTAGTTTTTGCTTATTCAACTTAAATCCCGCCACCCGACCAAACTCATGAATCAATTCTAATACTCTTTTTGTACTAGATTCTGGCTCCTGTAATGTTAAAACCAAATCATCTGCAAAAGCTTTCAATTTATATTGTTTCACTCCGACCTGTATTCCTTGTATCAACCGGTCCTTCCTAATCATGTTCAGTAACACCTCCAGGACTGAAATAAATAAAAGAGGGGATAGGGGCACCCTTGTCGTGTCCCTTTTTCAATTTTGAACTCATCTGTCACCACATTGTTCACTATCAGTTTAGCTTTTGCTCAGAATAAATTGCTTCTATTCCATTTTCAAACCCCCGTCCCACTCCCATCCCTTCCAGGTTTCTCTTCATAAATATCCAAGAAATATTATCAAAGGCCTTCTCCGCATCGATGAAAATTAACACAGCTTTCGTATTGATATTAGTTTGTAAAAGTTCCAAAATATCAATAATGTTCCTGGTATTATCAAAAGATGTCTCCCTGGGAGAAAGCCTGCCTGGTCCTTATGAATTACTTCGTTAAGTATTTTTTAAGTCTGCTCGCCAAAATATCAGCAAAAATTTTGTAATCCACATTTAGGAGTGAGATGGGACGGTAGTTCTTAAGCTGAGTCTTTTCAGATTCCAATTTAGGAATCAATGTGATGAAAGCTTCTTTCCACGTTTCCGGTGCCCTCCTCCCCTCCATAATCTGGTTACAGACCTCCATTAGTGGTTGTATCAAATAGTCTTTTAGTGTCTTATAGTACTTGGAGGTAAGTCCATCTGGGCCTGGAGATTTGCCTAGTTGCATATTCTGAATGGCACCCTCTATTTCCTGTCGTGTTATTCTATTATTTAAGATTGTCCTCTTCTCCTGAGATAGTTTGGATAGACCGTTAACTTTTAAAAATTGATCTATCTCAGACACTTCCTGAGGCCCTTGAGTATAAAGTTTTTGAAATATTTCTGGAAACACTTTCTAATTTCTTCTGGTTTCTGAATGTTTCTCCCTTCCACCTCTAGATTAGTGACAAAGTTCAATTTTTGTCTCTTTTCAACTGCCATGCTAGCAGTTTTCCACATTTATTTGCCGATTCAAATGATCTTTGTTTCATTTGTTTGATTTTCCATTCCACTTCTTGATTTATCAATTTCGCATATTGAGCTTGGTGGAATTTGATTTCTCTTAGAACCTCTTTTGATTTTGGTTTTAATCTCAATTTTTCTCTCCTTCTCTTATCTTCTCTAATATCCTGTCTTTTTTCCCATTCCAAAGTTTTTTCTTGATTGTGTTCTGTTGTATCAGAAACCCCTCATTACAGCTTTACTTGCGTCCCAGATTGTTCTCTTTTCCACCGAAGTGTTCAAATTGATTTCAAAGTAGTCCTTTAAGGTTTTTTGGGCCTTCTTCACAATCTCCTGATCTCTTAGTAGGGTGTCATTCATTTTCCATCTGAAAGAACCGGTTGGAGTAAGTCTCAATTCTACTTTCAAAGCATTATGGTCGGAGCAAGTCTTTGGACAGATTTCCACTTTTCTGATCTTAGGTGCCAGTCCTCTAGTTGTCCATATTTGGTCGATTCTTGTCCATGATAGGTGGGCCTCAGAAAAGAATGTTCCTTCTTTACCTAGGGGTTCCTTGTCCTCCAAATATCAATCAAGTCCATGTTATCAGTTAGTTCAAAGAAGGTTTTAGGTAGTCTGCCGTCTTTAGTTAAATTTTGATTTTGTGACTTATCCATGTGAGTAGAAACCACCCCATTCATATCGCCCATCATTATGATGTTGGTATAGTCCAGTTGGGTATAGTTGGGAAGGTCTAAACAGGAAGTCAGGCTTCCGTTTCTTTGTAGATAGATTAAAGCAAAGACATGGCAAACTAGAGCTCAGAAAATCGCTTGTAAAAGATTAACTTTCATCATTTAAAATTGTTGAACCCCCTTCGGAAGCAGGAGAAGAGGGGGGATTTTTTCGGACTGTTTAAACCTGCAGAAGTGAGTGTAAAGTAAAGTAACTTTCCACTGTCCTGATCCTGGAGCGGGGTGTCAGGACTGACGTTTTTTGAAGCTCATTGACCAGAGACAAACGTTTCTGACAGATAGCTATAAGAAGAGAAACATTGATTCCATTATCCCCCTTCGCTTTTTAAAGGAACAAATATTGACAAAATATCTGAAAAAGGAAACTTTGTTGTTAGACTTATCTTTAAAAGAAAGAACAAATAGAAATTTTCCCCCTAGAGGGAGACTGTGAAACTGTAACCAACTCCAGTGAGCTTGCAGCTGTTACAGATTACAATCGTGGGAATAGACTTCTGACCTTGCAGGACAATGTATTCAGAAGCTCTGTTGTGTGCTTTCTGTAAAACAAATGCCCTACTGGAACAGCTACATGAGAAGACGGATTTGATGACTGATTCGATCAGAAATTTTGAACAGGCAGTGGGAAATTATATGGCGCCCACCCAGGAATTAAATCAGGAGTGTGCCCTGACAGAACAGATGAGGGAAGAGGATGTTGCTGAATCTTGGGCGCCAGAGATGGAGGGAGCTGTGGCCCAGCAGGAACATGAGCTTTGGATTTGACAAATGAACTTGGAAAAAGCCAGATTTGGAAAGATAAAGTTTGGTTTGGTTTGGAAATGGGGGGCTGGATAGACCCCCCTATGCAGGGATGTTTGGACTTTTCAAGTCTGGCAATGGGCCGTGAGATGTTTGGGGTTGTGGGGGCTCTTAATTTTGGAGGGATTTTGAAACATGTTCTTAAATACCACATGGAGTTTAGTGTGGACTATGGAAAAGGGGCTGATTTGTCGAGAAGAGTCAAAAACATTGTTAAGCTGGAGTTCCCACGAGTGAAAGGAGCAGGAGACAAAGGAAAATACAGTTATAAATATGAAGAAGAGCCGCGGAAGGGACATGGAAGAGACTTAAGGGCCTTGGATACAAGGTTACCAGGTTAATGCGCTAGATCGATGGGATAATAAGGACTGACAAAACCCGGGACCAGGAGGAAGGGACGCTGGATGAAGATTGGATTGTTTTTATTTTTTTTTACTACTAGGATTGTTTTATAAAATTGATGAATGTTAGAAAAATGTTGGAATGAAATTACTTGGCTTTAGTAAAAATGTTTAAAGAATTATGTAAGAATATTATGGTTATGAGAAGTTGGTAAAAATAAGATTTAAGTTTTAAGTTTTAAGGTTTTTTATAGTAAGATAAGATTAAAATAGATTAAGGTAATGTAATGACAGAATATCATGAAATATGGAAAGGATTTGCTGCGACAATTAACAACTAGGATACAAAAAAAGGGAGGAGGAGGAGGTCAAAGAAAGAAGGTAATGACAGTTGAGGATTTGAGAATGATGGATTTGTTTTTAAATGTTTGTGGTGTATTTTTGTTTTTTGAATTTGTATTGCTTGATGTGGTTTGTTTTTTCTTTCTCTTTTTCTGCTTTGTTCTCTTTTGTAATTTAAAAAAAAAAATTCAATAAATATCATTTAAAAAAAAAAGGAAGTGAGTGAGAGATTGAGTGCGCCCTTCTTTTCTCACTTTTCTCACTTTTCCCCTTTACACCTCTTGTTTTGTTTGCTAGACAGATGCAAATACCTCATCCAAATGAGGCCTCAAAGTGACTAATCTTTTTAAAGCCATACAAGACAGTGACCTTCACAGCCCCTTGTGGGAGTTAGTGCGATCATTTAACGATTTGTTGTTGTTAAAATGTATTAGTTGCTTTTTTTTTTTTTTTACCAAAAGCAACTGAAATAGACTTACAGCAGAAAAAGTAAACAACACATGCATATATCATTGCTACACATGTGTTATAAAACAAGCAAAATGGACCGTGCTTAAAGTCGTCTAGGTTCTTCAATACATGCAAAATTCTAGTCTAAAAGCAAAAATACAGCAGCAATTTCCTATATGGAAAAACAAACAACACAGATTCACAGCAATATGAATTAAGTGTGATTGTAGTAAGACTTGAAGCTCTTTTTAACAGTTATTGACTTGGTGCATTATTCTAGAATCCAACACCTTTCTCAGTCACTTTTTAAATAAAAAACAGAGTTAATGGTTTACAATGATGTGCTGTGTGAAGATGTCCTTTCTTTTGTTTGTCGTGTATCTTGCAACATTCAATTCCACTGGAATATCCCCAAGTTCCAGTGTAATGAGGGCTCATCGCAAACTCAGCTGAATTACTAATTGACAGGTTGGGCTCACAATACCTGAATTTATTTTATTGCCTCAGTTCCTCTGTTGTTTGCAAAAGGGGTTCAGATTATTCTGAGCCTATCCAACCCAGCTCTGGAGCAGTAAGCGCCATGGGACAAAGACCTGCCTCTTTGCTTTATGTTTGAGCTTCAGTGCTACCTCAGGTTACATACGCTTCAGGTTACATACGCTTCAGGTTACAGACTCCACTAACCCAGAAATAGTACTTCGGGTTCAGAACTTTGCTTCAGGATGAGAACAGAAATCGTGCTCCGGCGGCGCGGCAGCAGCAGGAGGCCCCATTAGCTAAAGTGGTGCTTCAGGTTAAGAACAGTTTCAGGTTCAGAACGGACCTCCGGAACGAATTAAGTACTTAACCCGAGGTACCACTGTACAGGGAAACCCATTCAGGCAGTATATACATATGTACAGTGGTGCCCCGCAAGACGAACGCCTCGCAAGACGGAAAACCCGCTAGACGAAAGGGTTTTCCGTTTTGGAGGCGCTCGCATAAGCAATTTCCTATGGGCTTGCTCGCAAGGCGAAGCCCATAGGAAATCTCCGGGGACCTCTTTTAAATGCTAGCGGTGGGGAGCAAAGCCTTCCCCCTCCGGCCTTCAGAAGAGGTCCAGGAAGGCTGGCGGGGCCGAAGGCTTTGCTCCCCACCGCCAGCATTTTAAAAGCAGTCCGGGATAGCAGGGAAGCGCTTCCCGCTATCCCGGACGGCTTTTGAAGGCAGGAGAGGTCCGCGAAGCCTGGGCGCGCTGATCTCAGCGCGCGCAGGCTTCGGCATGCCGGCAACTCTCCGCGAGCAGCGGCAGCGCTGCCGCTGCTTGCGGAGAGGTCCGCGAAGCCTGGGCGCGCTGATCTCAGCGCGCGCAGGCTCGGCATGCCGGCAGCTCTCCGCGAGCAGCGGCAGCGCTGCCGCTGCTCGCGGAGAGGTCCGCGGAGCCTGGGCGCGCTGATCTCAGCGCGCGCAGGCCCGGCATGCCGGCAACTCTCCGCGAGCAGCGGCAGCGCTGCCGCTGCTCGCGGAGAGGTCCGCGGAGCCTGGGCGCGCTGATCTCAGCGCGCGCAGGCTCGGCATGCCGGCAACTCTCCGCGAGCAGCGGCAGCGCTGCCGCTGCTCGCGGAGAGGTCCGCGAGCCTGGGCGCGCTGATCTCCGCGCGCGCAGGCTTCGGCATGCCGGCAACTCTCCGCGAGCAGCGGCAGCGCTGCCGCTGCTCGCGGAGAGGTCCGCGAAGCCTGGGCGCGCTGATCTCAGCGCGCGCAGGCTTCGGCATGCCGGCAACTCTCCGCGAGCAGCGGCAGCGCTGCCGCTGCTCGCGGAGAGGTCCGCGAAGCCTGGGCGCGCTGATCTCAGCGCGCGCAGGCTCGGCATGCCGGCAACTCTCCGCGAGCAGCGGCAGCGCTGCCGCTGCTCGCGGAGAGGTCCGCGAAGCCTGGGCGCGCTGATCTCAGCGCGCGCAGGCTCGGCATGCCGGCAGCTCTCCGCGAGCAGCGGCAGCGCTGCCGCTGCTCGCGGAGAGGTCCGCGAAGCCTGGGCGCGCTGATCTCAGCGCGCGCAGGCTCGGCATGCCGGCAACTCTCCGCGAGCAGCGGCAGGCGCTGCCGCTGCTCGCGGAGAGGTCCGCGAGCCTGGGCGCGCTGATCTCAGCGCGCGCAGGCTCGGCATGCCGGCAGCTCTCCGCGAGCAGCGGCAGCGCTGCCGCTGCTCGCGGAGAGGTCCGCGAAGCCTGGGCGCGCTGATCTCAGCGCGCGCAGGCCTCGGCATGCCGGCAGCTCTCCGCGAGCAGCGGCAGCGCTGCCGCTGCTCGCGGAGAGGTCCGCGAAGCCTGGGCGCGCTGATCTCAGCGCGCGCAGGCTCGGCATGCCGGCAACTCTCCGCGAGCAGCGGCAGCGCTGCCGCTGCTCGCGGAGAGGTCCGCGAAGCCTGGGCGCGCTGATCTCAGCGCGCGCAGGCTCGGCATGCCGGCAACTCTCCGCGAGCAGCGGCAGCGCTGCCGCTGCTCGCGGAGAGGTCCGCGAAGCCTGGGCGCGCTGATCTCAGCGCGCGCAGGCTTCGGCATGCCGGCAACTCTCCGCAAGCAGCGGCAGTGCTGCCGCTGCTTGCGGAGAGGTCCGCGAGCCTTGGCTGGACAGCTTTTGAAGGCAGGTGGGGGGGACAAAGACTTTCGCCCCCGCCAGCCTTCAGAAGAGGTCCAGGACCTCTTCTGAAGGCTGGCGGGGGCAAAGTCTTTGTCCCCCTGCCTGCCTTCCCAGGGGCTTTAAATTGCCCCGGACAGCGGAGAAGTCCTCCGCTGTCCCGGGGCAATTTTAAATGCCGCCCGCCAGCATTTTAAGATCGCCCCGGACAGCGGAGAAGCCCTCCGCTGTCCCGGGGTTTTAAAATGCTGGGGTGGGTGGGAAGAAAAGCCCTTGTCCCCCCCAGCCTTCAGAAGAGGTCGGGGGACAGACTGTCCCGGACCTGGTCTGAAGTCGGTTTCCCTAGGAACGCATTAATTGATTTTCAATGCATTCCTATGGGAAACCGTGCATCGCAAGACGAAAAACTCGCAAGAAGAAAAAACTTGCGGAACGAATTAATTTCGTCTTGCGAGGCACCACTGTATATATACAGTCGTACCTTGGTTCCTGAACGGCTTAGTTGCAGAACAATATGGCTCCAAAACACCCCAAACCCAGAAGTAAGTGTTCCAGTTTGCAAACGTTTTTCGGAAGGCAGACATCCGACGCAGCTTTTGTTTGAGTGCAGGAAGCTCCTGCAGCCAATCGGAAGCTGCGCTTTGGTTTTCGAACGGTTTCGGAAGTCGAACAGACTCCCGGAATGGATTAAGTTCAAGAACCAAGGTACCACTGTAGGCTACTTTATTGTTAAGTTGATATTTGAAGCGGCTTACGCAAAGTCAAACAGCGATCTCGGCTAACAGAAATGCAGCAAGAAAAAGAGATAATTAAGATATTTTAGTACAAGAATAAAGAACAACGCTCTTACTTATAGGCCACATCGCACCACCCTTTGAGGCCCAGGTGATAATCCTGAGCGTTCCTGACTTCTCTGGAGCATTCGGCTCGCGTTTTGCACGGATTCTGAGCCGTGTGGATGATGATGACATACTCAGGCGGGAGGTCCTTCAAAGGTTCAGAGCAGTTGGCCGGCTTTGCACCCCACTTGGAGGGGGTGATGAGTTTGAAGCACCCCGAAGCTGGGAACACACAAAAGGAAAACTGCAAAGTGGTACGGGTGTGTGAAACCAGAGCTCACAGCGTTCCTTCCAAGCTCCACCACTCCTCTTGATTCCAATGCAAGCCAACCGATGGCTAAAATCCTAACTGAGGTCTGCTCAATGAATTATGGCAGTGCCGGATTTATGTATAAGCTAAACAAACTATAGCTTAGGGCCCCACTCCCTTGGGGGGGGGGCCAAAAAAAATTAAAGGAAAAAAACTGGATGTCCATTTCCAAAAGATACGATAAAAAAACAAATAAAATCAAACCTACATACAGCAGGTTGGCTCCTATTTGTGATGTGCAAATGGCTTTAGATACCTGTTAGGTCCATAAATTTCCATATATGGGACGCGGGTGGCGCTGTGGGTTAAACCACAGAGCCTAGGGCTTGCCGATCAGAAGGTCGGTGGTTCGAATCCCCATGATGGGGTGAGCTCCCGTTGCTCAGTAAAGGGAAGTTCTCTTTCTGCAGTTCTCTTTCTGCACATAACTGTGGCATTATGGGAAGTCTTGCTATGAGAACTGTTGCTTCTTTTCTCTTGCATGCTGGGAAGTTTTTGCCTCTGCACATGAGTCTGAAAATGTTCTGAACAGTTCCCATTGAGTTCATGAAACAGTGTACCCTGACCTGTTCTTAATGCATTGCTGACCACATCTACGGAACGTGATTGTTGTATTCTTTCATGTTATGTTCTTTCAATATCAATCTTTAGTTATAATTTAATTAGGAGGGTTCATGCCTGTCTAGTTCCAGCTCCGTTTCCCAGCCTTTAATCTATCAGTGATAAATGGTTATACGTAATTCCCGCCTTGTACCTATGTTAACCAATCAGCAACAAGTTGCTTTGTGTTTGTATCAACCAATCAGCCACAAGCACACCTGTGGCAATGTTTGTAATATTCAATAAAAGAGAGTTCCCGGGGCTTGCCCCGGCAGACGCCTCTCATATGACACCTGCCACTCGTCTGTCGTGGATTCATTCCAACATCTGGTGACCCCATGACGGGGTGAGCTCCCGTTGCTCAGTCCCAGCTCCTGCCAACCTAGCAGTTCAAAAGCACGTCAAAGTGCAAGTAGATAAATAGGTACCGCTCCGGCAGGAAGGTAAACGGCGTTTCCGTGCGCTGCTCTGGTTCGCCAGAAGTGGCTTAGTGATGCTGGCCACATGACCCAGAAGCTGTACGCCGGCTCCCTCAGCCAATAAAGCGAGATGAGCACCGCAACCCCAGAGTCAGTCACGACTGGACCTAATGGTCAGGGGTCCCTTTACCTTTACCTTTATTATGTGCAAATGGCTTTAGATACCTATTACGTCCATAAATTACCGTATAGCATATATTCAACACAAAAAACAGCGACAATTTGTCGTTGACAAAGGACAGGTAGACAGTAAAGGACCTCATTACCTTCAGTAGCTTAGGGCCTCATCAAACCTAAATCCGGCCCTAAATTATGGTAACTCTATCCCCATGCATTATCAGGTGGTACAGTCATACTGATGATCATACCACATCCTCCTGTTGTTTCAGTTGGCTTTCAAGCTTACCTTGTGACAGAGCACACAGAAAAAGCAGAATAATCTCTTGGCTGGCCATCATCTTGCTTTTAAAGACCTGTGGTAAATAAAATATTGATGGGTTAAAGCTGGTCTAGACAACATTATATATAATCCAAGTTTGTGAGGAGAGATATTACAGTAGACAACGTTCTATGAAACAAAGAGATGGAAGGCTTACATTTAATCACAAGACTATTCATAATATATTTGCAGAATATTATTCTGATTTATATCAAATAACTGAACCTTTGGCGAATAAGACTGAGTTATATTTGGGAAATGTAAGCCTGCAATTTCAAAGCTGAAACATTATTATTTTTATTATTATTATTTGTATCCCACCCTTTATCCATAGATCTCTGGGCAGTTCACAGCATACCTGATGTGACTAATTTTGTATAATGAGGTATGGGAGGGAAGAGGCACCCAAAATACATTGAATGCTTCTCAGATTATTGTCTCACTCAAACCTGGACAAGACAGGCAGGAAGTGGGATCATACAGAGCTTTCAACCTGCTTAATCAGGATTAAAGAAAATGATTATATCAGTTTTGGCATCTCATGTGTGCAGGGTGACTGCAACAATTATGAATTTAGATCAGACAGGGTTCATACCCAATAGATATCCAGTATGCTGTTTATTAAATTTTACATTTGATTGTAGAAGGAAGCAAACTCCATTGGCTACAGATACTTACAAAACATTTGATTCCCTGGAATGGTGTTGCTTGTTGGATGTTTTGAACAAATACCAGTTGGAGGCTAAATCTACAGCAGCAACTGCTTAGTTGTATAAAGTGAATTATGCCACAGTGTGTACCCATGAGGAGGAATTAAAGAACCTTTTAATGAGGGTGAAAGAGAAGAGCGCAAAATATGGTCTGAAGCTCAACATGAAAAAAAACAAAGATCATGGCCACTGGTCCCATCACCTCCTGGCAAATAGAAGGGGAAGAAATGGAGGCAGAGAGAGATTTTACTGTCTTGGGTTCCATGATCAGTGCAGATGGCGACAGCAGCCACAAAATTAAAAGACACCTGCTTCTTGGGAGAAAAGCAATGACAAACCTAGACAGCATCTTAAAAAGCAGAGACATCACCTTGCCAACAAAGGTCCATATAGTTAAAGCTATGGTGTTCCCAGTAGTGATGTATGGAAGTGAGAGCTGGACCGTAAAGAAGGCTGATGGCCGAAGAATTGATGCTTTTGAATTACGGTGCTGGAGGAGACTCTTGAGAGTCCCATGGACTGCAAGAAGATCAAACCTCTCCATTCTGAAGGAAATCAGCCCTGAGTGCTCACTGGAAGGACAGATCCTGAAGCTGAGGCTCCAATACTTTGGCCACCTCATGAGAAGAGAAGACTCCTGGAAAAGAGACTGATGTTGGGAAAGATGGAGGGCACAAGGAGAAGGGGACGACAGAGGACGAGATGGTTGGACAGTGTTCTCGAAGCTACCAGCATGAGTTTGACCAAACTGCAGGAGGCAGTGGAAAACAGGAGTGCCTGGTGTGCTCTGGTCTATGGGGTCACGAAGAGCTGGACACGACTAAACAACAACAACAGTACCCATGATCAGGATTCCTCACCGACTTTTATTTGAAGGGGTCCAAAACAGAGATGTCCCTGGTCCCCATTGCTCTTCACTCTTTTTGCATCTGGCTGAATTTACGAGGGGACAGTGCAGAGAACACTTGTAGAGTCTTTATGCTGATGATACGGTGTGTGTGCTGAGAGATCCTAACAGGGCTTTACTAGCAGAGTCACCAGAATAAATTACATTTTGATGAAGCAGTAGGCCTGCATACAGATTTGGATGAATCTATTATTTCCTCACAGATTGTCCTTTGCCTCAGGCAGAGAGGGCAGGGGACACAAGCACAGCAGGGCTGGATTTCCACATTTGGAAGGAAGTGAAGCCAGACACATGTACCATCTGAAGAGAGCCTCCCCATAAGACCATTTGCAGCAATATACAGTGCCACAGAAAAGGGGAGGGGTCATACTTTCAGTCCTGGGGTCCTCCAGGTGTGATTGGCTTCCAACTCCCATCAGCACCAGCCAGCACGGCCAATGCTCAGCAATGATGGGAGATGGAGTCCAGCAACTTCTGAAGGGCTACATGTTCCCCATTCCTGCCTTATAAAGAGTCAGACTTTGGTCCATCTGGTTCAGCATTGTCTGCATTGAGAAGCAGCAGCTCTCCAGGATTCAAACAGGGGTCTTCCCCAGTCCTACCCAGAGAGACCTCCTGCGTGTGCACTTTGCCATGGAGGTACAATCATCCTCACCTTCAAAAAAAGAAGATGGGCAGATGCTTTTGGGTTCTACCTGCCAACTGCTCCAGCCAGCATGGTCAACAGCCAGGGTTGATGGAAGCTGTAATGGTCCCACAAATGTTGCTGGACCTATCATCTCCTGTGAGCACAGCCAATGGCCAGAGTTGGCAGGTCTTGTAGTCCAAAAGAGGGCCACAGATTTCCCCAGCCCAGCTGTAGCATCATGAGACCTGGGATAGCTCAGTCAATAGAACTTGACCCTCGTGATCCCTTCCAATTCTGGAGTTCTATGAGTCTATGAAGGGACGCGGGTGGCGCTTTGGGTTAAACCACAGAGCCTAGGACTTGCCAATCAAAAGGTCGGCGGTTCGAATCCCCGTGACGGGGTGAGCTCCCGTTGCTCGGTCCCTGCTCCTGCCAACCTAGCAGTTCGAAAGCACGTCAAAGTGCAAGTAGATAAATAGGTACCACTCCGGTGGGAAGGTAAACGGCATTTCTGTGCGCTGCTCTGGTTCACCAGAAGCGGCTTAGTCATGCTGGCCACATGACCCGGAAGCTGTACGCCGGCTCCCTCAGCCAATAAAGCGAGATGAGCGTCGCAACCCCAGAGTCGGCCACGACTGGACCTAATGGTCAGGGGTCCCTTTACCTATGAGTCTATGAATCTAAAGCCCAGCAATAAGAACGGATAATCCAAAGAACAAAATTATCTATCCACACTGCTGCCTCCCATCAGCCAACAGTCAGAGATAATGGGAGCTGGAGTACAAGAACATCAGGGTGGGGAAGAAATGAGCTCCCCGTCCCTGGCCTAGCCCATTTCTTGAAAGCACAGAAACAATTGAGAACCTACCTGTGCCCGGCTTAGCCTTCCTTCTAAAAGCTACAGGTTTTACCTCTCTCCCTTTTTAAAGGGAGGCGGAGGATTGTGGGGAAAGTCAGAATGTCGAAACCAGCCAGGAGCCTTGGGCGAGGTGTCGCCAGGCTGTGGATCCTGGCAGCGGCAAGGGTGTGAACAGAGGGATAATAAGCAAGGGTTATGAA